CTATTTTATCATAACAGCTGAATCAAACTTAAAACTACATCAACAGTTTTTAACGAAAAGAAGAAATAAACAATAAATTAGTCTCTTCTATTAGAGTTCTATTAGATTTTCGAAAATTGGCAAGAATATGCTTCATTTGATCTCATGAAAAATTAGCCGATTAAAATATTTATTCAAAAATTTATAATAAGAGAAACAATTATAATTTCACATTTGTTAAATTGCGTTATTAAAAGTCTCTTAAATAAAGCTATGAAATCAGACCCTTTCTCTGAAATTCGAATTTTTGATTCTCAAATTATGAGAAGTATTCTTAATCTGAAATATGTGATTCCAATAGTTAAGTCAGGAAAACGGACGAATATCTCAGTTATTTTATTTTATTTATTTGATTTCGGGATCTAACAATTGGGACTTATTTGGGGACAATACAATCCCTTATTTTGAGGTCAAATATCCAAATCTGCTTAAAACAAGCATATTTATTCGAAAGAAAGTTTTTGTTTCGTTAGCACTAACATATTTAAGCTTCACGTTTCAAACTGTAAAGTCTTAGTAAGTAAAAATCATAAGCATTTAGTTTTCATGCAGTCTACAAAAGAAAATCGATTAATCTTGCTTTGAAAATGGTTTATTAAATGTTACTAAAATCGGAGAATTGGAATTACTAAAATTGGAATTTAATTCCCTTATTCTATTTATAACAGATACTAAACAGGGTTACAGCGGTTATAAACATGAAAGGATTTTCATAAAGGATACTTTCATTTACCTGAAATACTTTAATTTTCTGTTAACTTTACGTTTTATAAAAGTCCTTTTATAACCGTAGGGGAACAGCCGATCCGATTTTGGGCTTACGACTACTAATGTTCAACTCCGTGGCCTTGTAATTCTGAACCCAATCCAGAAGACAAGGGAACTCCTGGATCAAGCATTCGGAAAAATTAGCCTTAGTGGAGAACGTTTTTATGAAACTAACCAGCATTTGCATTACATGGCGAGGAAGACCATGAGAACCTCCCTGGTTAGCCTAGCGGCAAAGAGCCATGATCCGTCTACCGCTGAGTATATTTTACGTCAGCACTGTGGTCGGTGCGAGCCGGGGGCAGAATTCGTATCGCTGGGATTCGAACCAGATTCACCTCTTTGGAAGACGAACGTTCTATCCCCTGACACACCACTGCTCTATAAAAGTTATTTTATAACCGCCGTTGAACAACCGGCAAAATTTTCTGGCCTAAAAAAGTTTTTTTTCATTAAATTTTATTCTATAATCATCGTTGAACAGCTGACCCAGTTTTTTGGGTTTACGGCAACTAATATTTACTCCGTAACCTTGTAATTTTGAATCCAATCCAAAAGACAAGAAAACTCTTGTATGGAGTATTGGGTACGGCTGCTCTGTCAAAACTATAGCGACCACACTCTCCAGATTGTTCTTATTTTCATGATCAAAAATCAAAATCCATTGAAAAATGTGTGTTTAGTTAGAGAAAATACGTTTTTGTGTCTATTCAGTAGCTTAATTAAGAGTTAGCGCTATTTAATTAGCATAATTAAGGTCTCTGTTTGAACTATTAAGAATGACATTTAACTTGTGAAAACCTAATTATTAGAACAAAAGTTTTTTAAGGGGATATATTTTTGTTTATTTATTCATTTATTTTTTGCCCACTGTACTTTACCTCAAGATCTACAGTACTAATTCTCAAAAACTTTCACTGTACCCAAATTTTGTTCCATTTTCTAAAAAAAATTCTATTATTAATTAATTTTTTTTATTTAGTTATAAAGTCAATTAACTAAAACACTTTCTTATACTTCGAACTTCAATTTTAAACTCAACTTTTAAAAAACATATCTTTAAATTATTCTAAAGGAGCAGAGAATAGTAAGACGCACTCGATTGTTTCATAAACTAGTGATTTCATTGATGATTTATTTATTTAGTTTCATATTCAATTCACACAAGCATTATCTTATATTTCAAATTTCAATTATATTCTCAAATTTTAAAAACTCTGTTTTTAAATTATTTGGATTAAAAAGTAAATTAGTACTTTTCAAAATAGATTTTGCGCTACCTTTTTCAAAGGCTGAAATAGCGATTTCTCTTTAGAAATTTAAAATACTTCACAATATAATTTTATATCATAATAGGAAGAATTCTTATATATTAAACCTTTCCTTCATTGTACTTAATTCATGTAATATTCATGTCCTCAGAGCCTAGAAGCTAAATTACTAGCTATAGAAACCATTCTCATTTATTGCACTTAGCATAATGAAAATTATTAGTAACTGCAATTGCGCGTGTTTATGCTAGTAAACTTTCCTTTATAATATGCAAGAAATTATTTATAATCCTGCCGCAGATGGTGTTCAATCAATTATTAAAATGAGCTTCATTTTAGTTTCTAACGATACGATCTAGATGAGGAATATTAAAGTTCTCACTTAAAGCAGACAGAATTATTTGATTTGTTTGAATATAATTACATGTATTATGTTGGATGATACAATAAGTAACTCACATTTCAGAGACTTGACATTCTAATTATTGTTCATTTTCCTTTTCTGATTTAATTTCGCAAGATAATAATAAAAGTATTCTTTATGATAATTGTTTGTAAGACTGAAGTCACGAAACAACGAAATTGAGGTTTTTGAACTAATAACATACAATAATATTATATTAATAATCGAATTGGCATATACACTGATAATAAATACGAAGCCTCTGATCGTAAATTCAACATTTGAGAGTTTAAAAAAGGAACATTGCTTTCGAAAAAAAGTGAGAAAAAGGATAATTTCCATGAGAAGTTTTAGAAATTCATAAATGTCTGATATCAGATCAATATAACGAAATTTATATTTATAATTGGTGCTCACGAGCGACTAAATTTTTTCAAAATAAATACAAAGAATAATAAATCATTTAGTTATCCACTCTTTGTCATTTTAGAAAAAAGGGATGTTTTTTAAAATGGCTAAAGTAGATTAAAAAAGGTGGAAAAAACTTGTAACAATTTTAAAATAATGTTTTATTTGAGAAAAAATAGCACGGTATAAAGCAAACGATAAAAAATATCAACATGATAAGGGGTTTTCCTCAAATATTATTTTTTTCCAATAAACAAGATTGATTACAAATATATAACAATGGTCCGGATAATAAAGTGTGATTGCATCAGGAAATAAAACACGTGGAAGAAAATTTAAGAAAAGAATTCAAAATTTTAAAAGCATTTCAAATATTACTTCCAATGCGGAAGAGAATATACTTTTATGGGGATGATCCCCAACAATGCCGGCGTCATTTTTTTAAAAAAAAATCATGGTTAATAATACAAAATGATATTTGTGGAAAAACCCTTATAATTTTGAGCTTTCTTTTAAAAAGTGAGAAAATTGCTTGAAACTTTTTAAAATTTTAAAATATTCAAATCGGACTCTTTGTATTATACTTCGTTTCACCTCAAGTTGACACTGGAGAGAAAGGCAGATAGACCGCATTGCAACCGTTTTCATGGAAACTGAGTTGCTCTAAGATAGCTGGGTGCATGAGGAAGCAAAAACAGAGAGAAAGTGGCCAATATTAGCGTTAAAGAAAACAAAGCGCCGATATTTTTTTTTACCAAGAATCTTACTAAAATTTTGAGCAAAATACAGAAAAGAACAAGACTTATCTTTAGAGAATTTCTACTTGCCAAATACGATTCACAACAAATTTAAGAAAAATTTTTTTTATTTTTTCCGCGCATTCGCAGTATAAAAGAACTACCTTAATTACTCATATCTTGCGCAATTTTCAAGAAATTTTTCTCAAATTTTAATGCAATAATCTTGCAATTAATTTCAAATTGATCCGAAAGCTTCGTTCAATTGTATTGAATATTTTCAAAGTTACAGCGCAAAAAACATAAGACAAAAAAAAAATTTACAAAAATGTCCATATCTCTATTAATATTTAAGCTAGGCTTACGAAATTTTGTGCAATTATTGAAAATAGTAACCAAAATATTAGTTTTAAGTTACAAATCTATTACTACATTTTTTGGCATAGGGTGTTCAAAGACATTTTTTTTTCGTTTGTATTTATTGTCAGTCCCTCAAACCTCAAATTGTAAGCTTCATTGATATGTATGAGAAATCGCACGATACCAACACTTCTTAATTCATAAGCTGATTCTCTAAGTATTTTTTGAGGAATATAAAAACTTGTGTTGGCATGGAAGTGTTTGTATTTTTTTGTTCAACTCCTGTAGACCAGTTAAATAACTCAGCCTGTTTTTTTTTATGTTTGGGCCTTTAGAGATTCAAAATTTTTGGCAAATTTTCCTTGCTTCTTTTTAGTTTTTCTAAAATATGCGTAATTAAAAAGTATATAGCGTTTATAAACTGATTTTAAATTATAAACTGATTCTCTAAGTATTTTTTTAAGAATATCAAAAGTTGTGTTAGTATCAAAATGTTTTTATTATTTTGTTCAACCCCTGTAGATCATTTGAATAACTCAACTTATTTTTTTTATATTTGAGCCATGAAAAAAAATTCAAAATTTTTGGCAAATTGTCCTTTAGTTTTTCGATAATGTGTGCAATTAAAAAAATTTATAGCTTTGGTTTGATAATCTTCCGATATAAATTTTAAAAGTAAAATGATAGTTAAAATAAGAATTTATTTACTTCGCATAAACCCAAATTTGATTCCGCTTTTATATATTTTCATGTTTTCCTTTTTGTGATTTATCCCCAACTTCCACTCAAGTATTCACATTTAGTTCAGAAAGCTTCAAACTTAAATAGACTGTCTCTGCAAATAACTCCATTTCTAGCTTTAAAAAATAATAATGTATGTGTAGTGATAGAAAGTTTGCTTTTGTATTGATCACGCATCACAAAATATAATGCTTTTTTTTTAACTTTTAGAAATTTATGAACGTGATCTCAATACCAAAAAATCAATGTTTTTGACGCCATTTTCTTTTACAGTGACTTACGACGTGACATGTTCTGCAAAAGAAATGAAAGTTACAATGATGTTGGATGACAATAAGCCAAATGTTTTCATCGATAATTTAAGAGGATTTAAAGGTAAGAAATATTTTATTTGAAATATTTCATTTAACAATTTCCATATACATATTTAGTAGTTATAAATGTCTATTTTTATTCCAATCAGTACAGAATAAGTTGCTTCAAAGATATTTCAATCTCTTTAAATTACACAAATCAATAATAAGTAATGTGTTTTAAAATTGATTAATACACATATTTAGTCGTCATACAGCAAACCCAATCATTAAATGTCTGCTTTTGTCCTAATCAGTGTAGAATAAGTTGCTTCAAAAATATTTCAATGTCTTTAAATTATACAAATCAATAATAAGTAATGTCTTTTAAAATTGATTAATACACATATTTAGTCGTCATACAGAAAGCCCGATCATTAAATGTCTGCTTTTGTCCAAATCAGTGTAGAATAAGTTGCTTCAAAAATATTTCAATATCTTTAAATTACACGAATCAATAATAAGTAATGTCTTTTAAAATTTATTAATACACATATTTAGTAGTCATACAGCAAACCCAATCATTAAATGTCTGCTTTTGTCCTAATCAGTATAGAATAAGTTGCTTCAAAAGTATTTCAATGTCTTTAAACTACACAAATCAATAATAAGTTATATCTTTTAAAATTGCTTTATACACATATTCAGTAGCCATACAGAAAATCCGATCATTAAATGTCAATTTTTATCCTAATCAGCATAGAATAAGTTGCTTCAAAGATATTTCAATGTCTTTAAATTGCGCAAATCAATAAGTTCTGTGTTTTAGAATTGCTTTATACACGGAGAAAGAAATTCTGATGAAATTACCGTACTGTATGATAATGACAGTTCTGGTTTAAAAAGAATTGAAAAAAACACAATTCTGATAATAAAAACCACATTACATGGTATTTAAATATTCATTTGGTAATTTTCTCCCTTCATATAGTGACAGTTTACTGGAAATTCTGATTTTAAAAATTATTCTTTTTATTACTACACATATTAAATATGCAGTACTGAAAAGTAAAATTTACCGAATAAGTGGTTTTTATGCCATACTTTACAGTATTATGAAATTTCAACACATTCACCAAAATTTATCACATATTATAAAACCACGTTTTATTGTTGATTTTACAAAAATCATTACCAAAGCTCATCGGTAAAAAACGCCGATGTTTGCTTGTGATATCTTTAATTTCAGTACTATTTTGCTCAGCCTTATAACGTTGTCTATATAAGAAAAACACCCATATGAGAAAAGTGATAAAGCACATTATCCCTTTTATGTTTTTTTTCTACCTCTTTACGCTTAAAAAAGCTTGTCTACAGATCTATTATTAATATATTATATTCTTACTAGTGTTGGCAAAATGAATCTAATGCATTTATGGTGCCACTTTTTTTCGTTCTTAAAAGGGCATTCAATATTCCTTGGAGATATTCAAGTCTCAATAGTTTACGTGATAAAGCAGGACATAGTTTTTTTTGTTAAAAAAAAGGTGGTGACAAAGTTGCTGAGTTAATTTATGTATCCGTAATATGCAATTAGCTTATTACGAATATGACGCAATAATACGCAACGCAGTACAGCGCAATACGCAAATACGCAAATGACATGTACAGCGTATGTCAACTTTACCTAAACACAACTTTCATAACAATAGTTGAAGCCATTCGTTTAAGTTCGTTAGTTAAGAGGTGAATACGGACATTAGTGGGCAAAATAAATGTTTAAATTAAAATGATTTTCCAAAATTTCTGAACACAATTAAAATAAACAATAGTAAATATATATTTCCAAAATTTTATACCACTTTCTTTTGTAGTAATTATTAGACATATTATTTTTAAGTTTAAAAAATCTTCATGGGAAATATTCAAAATTTATTATCACATAAAGTTTAAAAAGAAGCAAATATAACAATATTAAGTCTGTTCTCGGTTTTTAATTAAGATAGCTGATTTTTTTTACAGCTTGTAAAGGGATTAATAGCTTTTTCCAACAATTTTTTATGCTGTAAACAAAATCTCAAAACTCATCAAATCTCACATTCATGTTTGCTTATTTTTTGTTTTAAAACCTTTTAAATCAAAGTTAATCTTATTGAATAACACAAAAAATGACGGAAAATATGGGTGATAAATAGAAATTTCACATATATGTTATTAAATAAAAAAACATTAATAATATATTTTAAGACGGAGTTAATTATTCTGCAAACATTAATCTTCATATCATACAGATACAAAATAATAATAATAATAATATATTGTTAAGGAATTATAAATTAAAAATTTAATCCAAAATACTATCATTGATTTATCTTGTTGATATTCAATGGCTAAGCAGACAAAATTGAAAAATGTTTCTTTGGAGAGTGTCTTTTTTATTTAATAAAGAGTAGTTATTAATTAAAGTAATGGGAGTAATTATTATTAAGAGTAATTTATTTAATAAAGAGTAATTATCTCATTTTGTATATATTAAAGTTCAGAATTGCAAAAGCTAAAATCTTATTTAGGGTTTGGCTTATATATAAATATATATGTAAGCAAAAAGAGAAAATTGCTAAGAATACATTTATTTAAATCCTATTTTTAATCAAATAAAGAAATTAAACGAATTTGTTGTAATATTTGTTTATCCAAAAGTAAAATAAAAAAATAAAAATATAACAAACACTCTCTTCCAAAATTTGATTAAAAACAATGGATATCCAACAAATGTAATAAAATTCCATACAAAATCATTGAGTTAACTGTATGTTAAAATTAATAAGCGAATATATTTACATTAATATATTTCTGTTATCTAAATTGATATTTTTACCATGTGCAAATGCGTGTGCATATGTGCAAATTATTTTTAACCTACCTATAGCCTCCTCCGATATTCCATTAATATTTTTTCAATAAATGTTCATTAATTTTCTAAAATTCATCGAGATAAAATGTTGTTTTTAAATTTCTATCTTATACTCTGAATTATCCAGTATTGTTTATTATTACCTTACGCAAATTCAGTTTCCGAGCCAACCCAAGGCAACAGACAAATCAAATGCGATTGTGTACCTCAGTAAGAAAACGCCTTAGAATATATCTCACTACCCTCTATTTAAGTTTTAATTTTTATTATGTAGTCTGGCAACTTAGTCACGATAGTATTTTTAAATCATTTTTGCGAGATCTAGTAAGTACATGACATCCGTTCTCACTTCTCGCTTTATATGATCCTATTTGCGTTTTATTTTTTATTTTTCTTGCATTTTTGTGATTTTTACTTGTTATTGTGATTTTTGTTAGTTAAGGAATCGGTTTCCTTCCTTCGCTTTTTTATTTATTTTTTTGGTGCTTCTGATACTGTTGTATAGCCATGTTTTGCCTTAACTATACTGATAAAATATTCAAAAGCACTATATAATACACACTATATAAGCGTGTGAAGTGATGACGAGATTATCTTTTGGTTGTTTTATTATCAAACTTTAATTTTTAGCTTTTTTTCAATAATTTTGAGAATTTCAATTATTTTTTTTCCTGTTTTCCTTGTTTTCTTTCGATAGAAAGAAAACAAAACAAGCACTGGACATTTGCGGAATGGAAATTTTGTATTTGAATAGTATATAAATAGTTGTAGGTTCAAGTGTAAATAGTATAAATAGAACTTAAATTATAACCGCCTGTTAACCTAAATAAACGCCTGTTATTAAAACAGGAACAAAATTATTTTAGAAAAGTCTAAATTAGAACATTCTTGACCGATTCGGGCAAATTAAAAACTCGCTATAAAATCACTCAAGAACGCCTTTTTGTAGAAAAGCAAAAGTTGATTCAAAGAGAATTATCAATTTTACAGTAGTGTCATCTATTAACAAGAGGGTGAACATAAAGTAAGGTGATCTGGAAAATATTTTTTAATAGAAGGAAAAGAGTCTAAAAAAAAGCAATAATGAAATTTAATGCTCTTAAAACGCATTATTTGGTGGTCGTTTACCTGCCTGAACCCTCATTCAATCAACATTCTAACACAAAAATATTTTCAATAAAGCAGTGGATTATTCCGGAACAAGCAAATAATGGCTGCAACTGCCGAGAATAAAAGGTCAATTCATATTAAATATCCTATCCAAAGGCTCGCGAAATCGAATAATCCCATTAATTTTTAATCCCAAGAATTAACCAGATTTAATTTTTAATTAGTTTTTTAGAGTTAAAATTGCTTGAGTATTTTAAATTTATTTGCCAATATTTTATTGAATTTTCATACAATATTTCTAACAATTAATCATCCTGCCAAAACATACATTTTCAAGAGGAATTAAAAAAAATCGTCACTGATAAAATTATTTTTGTAGCGTTTTGACCTCTTTCAAGAATTCTTGATGATTTGATTTGTTTCTATATATCCCAGGGCTCGAAAAAACTCAGAANCCTCTTTCAAAAATTCTTGTTGATTTGAATTGTTTCTATATATCCTGATCGTGTGATTTCTAATTATGTTAGCAATAACCTTGCTACTTAAATTTGACAATTCTAAACATCAGCCAATTTATGAATAGTTAAATTTTATGAAAAAAAGTAGTTAATAGCCATTCTTGAAAATTAATAAATTAATTCAGCAATACCAACTTTTATTGAACTTAAATTTTATTCAATCAAAGTGGAAACGTTTAATTTTGCTTCTGCGTATTCCTGATACAAAATTCCAATATATTTTTTTCTTGCGTTCGAAATACTGTTCTCTCTTTTCTATTTTAAAAACTTCTATCAAAATATACAGTTTTGATTACACAGATAAACGGATAAAACATTTTTTACTATGTGCAAATTTTATATAATAGAATAATAGATTTCCTTTCAAATAAAATCGTCTTATAACAGTATCAAACAGTACCAGAATATAAACTAGAAAACAGTAATTAAATTTGCATGAACAAATTTCTGTAATTTATGAATTAAAAACGTTGTCTTGAATTCAAATAACATTTTAAATAATTAAAAAATGGCGATACGTGAGGAGATTTCGTAGGGAAA